ACCCTGAGCATTTTGGTTATTCAGAAGAAGTTGTTTAAAGGTTTTTTAATACAATTGACCCCTGTGACCTTGAATATAATTGAAGGTCATTCATTTGAACAAACTTGGTAGCCCTTCACCCAAGCATGCTACTGGCCAAATATCATCTCCCTGGGCATTTTGGTTATTGAGAAGAAGATGTTTAAAGTTTTTGACATATTTGACCCCTGTGACCTTGAAAATAGGTGAAGGTCATTTATTTGAACAAACTTGGTAGCCCTTCATATGGCCAAATATTGACACCCTAGGCCTTTCGGTTATTAAGAAGAAGTCGTTTAAAGTAAAATATTGACGCCGGACGCCGGACGGACGGACGGACGGACGGACGGACGGACAACGGACGGACAACGGACGGACGGACGACGGACGCCGCACCACGGCATAAGCTCACTTGGCACTTCGTGCCAGGTGAGCTAATAATGCACAATCCAGTGTCATTAATTGTTTACTCTTTGAGGACTAGTAAATTCTAAACTAATAGATTTAGCATGGCTAGAATTGAAATATGTAAATTTTCTGTGCAAATAAATTAAGTGGTTATAAAATGGAAGGACACTAAATGTTGGGGGAAAAGAGAGATTGGACAAAAAGAACAAGATGTCAATAAAATTGAAGTAAAGATACGTTGTATTAATATTGTTTTTCATGCATTGATTTTCCATGGCCAGATTAAACAAGAGGCCCAGGGGCCTTAATAGCTCACCTGGTATTATATTTTTCAATTTAAAACCTGCTGAGTACCATTCAGGTTTATCAAAGGAGTACAAGAAACAAAGTTGCAAGAAGAACTACATATAAATCTGTTTTGGTGGAAAAGACACCAAGAAAATGAGTTTCCATGTTATGTCCCAATTTTTCTCAATTTCCCCTATTGGGCCTCACATGCATCTTTTTATACAAATTAAACAAATTGATTTTTTCTATTTTCCCTGCTCCTCTGCCTGGTTGAGGGGGGGGTGGCACATCTTCCATTTATAAATATACAATTCCCTTCGAACAAAGATTCTCTAGAACAAGTTTGGTTAGGTTAAAATCCCTTCAACGGTACAGAAGGAGAAGGATCTTTAATGTTTTCCTCTATTTTCCCTAATGGGCCCCACTCATATGTCCCAAAGAAGGGGGTTCACACACCTCAGTTTAAACAAAATTGATTCTTTGGTCCCTAAGCATGCTTCAGACTGCATTTGGTTTAAATAGTAGGAGAAAAAAAATCCTCTATTTCCCCTATTGGGCCCCGCCCCTATGCCCCCAGAGGGCCCACACCCACCTTTTATACAAACTTGAGGCTCCTTTGTCCAGAGATGCTCTAGAACAAATTTGGTCAAAATCCTTCTATTGGTTGAGAAGAAGAAGATTTTTAAAAATTTACCTATTTTCCCCCTATTTGGCCCCGCCCCTCTGCCCCAAGGGGGACCATACCCTCCGTTTATACAAAACTGAGAACCCTTTGGCCAATGATGCTCCAGACCAAATTTGGTCAAAATCCTCTGAGCCATTCAGGACCTTCGGGCCAGGTGAGCTAACAATGAAACTTCTAGTGAAGTAAACCGTTTCGTCACTTGACTTTCTGCTGCTCCCCAAGAAAATAGCAATGCAAGAACACTAATACAGTTCAATCAGGTTTTAAAAATGTTAACCTACAACGGACATGTAACCATTTATATACAGCTGTATCTGTCAGCTTGCCCCACATAGATAGTTCCAAACCATTTCTCATTGAATATACTTTTCATACAGTATGTAAATTTGAATATATGCCTTGGTCTTGACAATGTGAGTACAATAAACTGGACACTGTACAGTAAGTACAACACTGGACAAACAGAACATCGGACACTGACCTTCTAGGGCAGACATCTTGGATTCATACTGGTGGGACTCGGCTTCAGCAACCTCAAGTTCTTCTGCAAGGAACAATCAATACAAAATGACCACATGTCAGTTCAGTATGGCCAATTGTTGAGAAACAATAAAATGACCACTGGTCAGCACAGTATGGCCAATGTTGACAAACAATAAAATGACCACTGGTCAGCACAGTATAGCCAATGTCGACAAACAATAAAATGACCCCTGGTTAGCACAGTATGGCCCTGTATAGCCAATGTTGACAAACAATAAAATGACCACTGGTTAGCACAGTATGGCCCTGTATAGCCAATGTCGACAAACAATTAAATGACCACTGGTCAGTTCAGTATGGCCCTGTATAGCCAATGTTGACAAACAATAAAATGACCCCTGGTTAGCACAGTATGGCCAATGTCGACAAACAATTAAATGACCACTGGTCAGCTCAGTATGGCCCTGTATAGCCAATGTCGACAAACAATAAAATGACCACTGGTCAGCTCAGTATGGCCCTGTATAGCCAATGTTGACAAACAATAAAATGAATGTCAACAAACAATTAAATGACCACTGGTCAGCTCAGTATGGCCCTGTATAGCCAATGTTGACAAACAATAAAATGAATGTCAACAAACAATTGAATGACCACTGGTCAGCTCAGTATGGCCCTGTATATCCAATGTTGACAAACAATAAAATGAATGTCAACGAACAATTAAATGACCACTGGTCAGCTCAGTATGGCCAATGTTGACAAACAATAAAATGACCACTGGTCAGCTCAGTATGGCCCTGCATAGCCAATGTTGACAAACAATTAAATGACCCCTGGTTAGCACAGTATAGCCAATGTTGACAGACAATTAAATGACCACTGGTCAGCACAGTATGGCCAATGTTGACAAACAATAAAATGACCACTGGTCAGCACAGTATAGCCAATGTCGACAAACAATAAAATGACCCCTGGTTAGCACAGGATAGCCAATGTTGACAAACAATTAAATGACCACGGGTCAGCACAGTATGGCCAATGTTGACAAACAATAAAATGACCCCTGGTTAGCACAGTATAGCCAATGTTGACAAACAATTAAATGACCACTGGTCAGCACAGTATGGCCAATGTTGACAAACAATAAAATGACCACTGGTCAGCTCAGTATGGCCCTGTATAGCCAATGTTGACAAACAATTAAATGACCCCTGGTTAGCACAGTATAGCCAATGTCGACAAACAATTAAATGACCACTGGTCAGCACAGTATGGCCAATGTTGACAAACAATAAAACAACTATCTGTCAGTACAGTAATAATTTGAGATTAATACATGACTACCAATCAATTTTTCCAACATGGACAACGATAAAACAAAAATCAACAATTTCCATGTAATAATTTTCAAAAAATTCCAAATATCAAAACATTTACATGATTATCGTAAACATGTACAAATAGCCAGTAAAAACCTATCGGGGTGAAACATATTCTGATAAAGAGTTAATGTTAGAACACACAACACTTACTCTGGAGCTTCTCAACGTTATCACTGCTAGCCTTCAGTTTGGCATCTGATTCATCAAGCTGGGCTGTTTACAACGAGAATAAAAATAAAGATAACAGGAGAAAAAAATATTATTTATACATGATTACAACACAATAACCATGGCAACATGAGGAGGACAAAACCCTAAGGAGTAGACCCATGAGCCTGCAATTATATCTTTAATTGCAAATGATAATAAGGGTCACTTCAAACTAGGGAAGGCTCAAATGCCTTGGAAATTAAAATCTCATAGGATTTAACAAGGTGTAACAAAATCTACACCAATGAAGAACTGATCAAATCATGAGTACGTTTTCATGAAATCCGTTATCTTAATATTACTTCCATTTTTCTACATTTAGAAGTAGTAGAGGGTTAATATTGTAAACCTTGAAAATGGAACATGACCATACAAACCTTTATATTTCTCTATCTGTTGTTGGGTCTCCTTTAGTTTACCTGGAATTGATAGTATAACGCTTAACGAACAGGTAACTAATGTAACACAGCAGTGTAGTAAATTCCCAATCATTGAACACTGACTCCTATTATTTATTTTTATTTTACCAGTCAAGGAAAACTGATTTTATGAAAGAGTTATCTCCCTTACAAACTAACTATTTTTAACATCAGCATTATTTATCCAAAGTCTAAATCACCCTTGATAACAGATATTTAATTTATTTCTCAAGTGGAAATCTTTTTGTAAGGAGGTATAAGTTGCAGCAATGTACAGTTAAATGCTTCATTTTGCATGTTTTCTTAGTTTTGCCAACTGTGCCTGTAGGTTTGGTTAGGGAACACTTGTGATTGAGAGGATGCTATTTCAGTATAATGATAGCAATGAATAATCACAGAAGATTTTAACTAACGAGTGAGCCCTATCATGTGAACATAAAGTGATCTTCAGTAGTATATATTCTATATAGATTGTCAGTATACAGAGGCTGAAATATAACTGACCTTCTATATCATCAGTCCTGATCACCTTGAGAGATGGGGAGGTGGGAATTATCTGAGGTTGTTCATCTGGAATAAACAAACAATTGAATTCATGTCTTTTGGCATCAAGAAGGTTTTGTCAACTTTGTTTCTTCACATTCTTTATTTTTAATATGACTTCTGTTAAATTTTAATACATGTTTCACTGTATAGTGAGTTCAAAATGCCAGATTAAAACTTGCCATTTTCATTTAAAACACACATTTCCAGGGATTAGATTTTTACATCTGATTTATATCTCCAGCACAAGTTTAATTTAAATACTCATTTGGACACCATGTCCATAAATGTCCTTTTTTTCTGAAAATTCTTTATAGTAGACTGTTAATTCAAGCGCGACTTTACCTATTGTGTTTGAGTCAACCAGTTTGTTATCATCTTCCGTCTTTTCCTCCTCATCCTCGTCTGTCTTTTCATCAGCTTCCTTGTTGCTATCGGACGGTTCCTCTTTCAGGGCTTCAAGCTTGGCTGGTGACAGGAATAGTTTATAAACGTTTTGTGAATAATCAGACTTCAAGAATGGCTAGAAACAGGATTGTCAACCTCCTGAAGGGTACCTCCTACCATTCTTTTACTTTTACAAAATCAATAGATCTACATTTCATTTAAACTTTCTATAACTTATCATAATATCCCTGTCTCTGAATCAGTTTATCCAATTTCTGGAATTCCATCCTCTCTCCTTCAGACAAATCTTTCCACTTTATAATTACCTAAACCTCTGACCAGGAGATCTGTTTTTGACACAGAACAGGTTTACAAACAAGTGTGACATGTATAAATATGAAACCAGACTTTTACCTTTCATTGCAGCTAACTGGTTCATAGTGATGTCGTTGTCAGCTTGTAGAGACTCCAGCTGTATAAACAAAGGCATTGACTTTAATGTAAGTTTACACCTGTGGGAACTACAAAACAATGTAGGTAATTATTATTACATTCCAATTCCTTAATGTTTATTTTTCTCTGTTACTTTATTCAATTAAAAGCTGCATAAAAATCTTAAAAGATTGTTTACGGTTTCAGGACATCCAAACCACTATGGTCATATCTTTATAGAACATCTAAAGCATGTTTGGTTGTGATTTATTTTAAATCTTCAACTGATTCCTGTCTGATATCATTCATTTGCAAGTTTTATAATTTAAACAGTTTATTATCAATCATAAAACTATTCCAGTTAACTTCAAATTTAATGACTGAAAATAACAGATCTCTGAACTTGTAGACATGTTCTCTGACCGCCAACATGTATCACTTCACCTCTTCTGGTAAGATCTCTAAAGGTGAAATGATGACCTCTGTAGGTGAGATAACGACCTTTACAGGTGTGATAATGACTTACCTTGGCTGAGAGCATATCCTCCTCCTTGACCATTTCGTCTAGTTTATCCTGGAGACAGATTTTCTCTTTATCAGCTTTCTCCGTCTCCTCCACCAAGTTTCTCTCTGCTTCCTGCACACAGAAAACAGGACATTATCTCACAAGTTCCTTACAGCCATTTCAAACACCACAAATTTCCCATGACAACTTCAAACATCAAAAGTTCATAAAACAATAACAGACATCACAAGTTCCTCAAAAGGATGAAAAACACCCCAAAACATACATAATGTTGCTTGGAAAAATGTTTTTCTTTTTCAGAAAATCTGACCACTCATTAGAAAAAAAAAATCCTTTCAAAGCTATATTGAATGCCAGTGCCAAAAAAAATCTTTTCCTTTCACAGTTAAACTGACCACTTCTTACAATAGTTTAAGGACCTAAGTGACCACTGACCACTTCTTACAATAGAATAGTTTTAGGACCAAAGTGACCACTGACCAATTCTTACAATAATTTTAGGACCTAAGTGACCAGTGACCACTTCTTAAAATAGTTTTAGGACCAAAGTGACCACTGACCACTTCTTACAATAGTTACAGGATCTAAGTGACCACTTCTTACAATAGTTACAGGACCTAAGTGACCACTGACCACTTCTTAAAATAGTTTTAGGACCTTAGTGACCAGTGACCACTTCTTACAATAGTTACATGACCTAAGTGACCACTGACCATTTTTACAATAGTTACATGACCTAACTGACCATTCTTACAATAGTTTTAGGACCTAACTGACCACTTGTTACTTACAGACAGTTTGTCCTGGAGCTCCTTCACTTCCTTGAGCTGATCCTGATATTTCTCTGCCAGTTGCTGCAGTTCATCCTGGGACTTCTCACACATGTCCTTCAGGTGGGCACATTCCTCTTCTGTGTTCACCATGGACCGCTAAATGTCAAAGTCATAGTACACCACATTATGTCAAGGTCATAGTACACCATATTAGGTCAAGGTCATAGAACACCATATTAGGTCAAGGTCATAGTAAAGTATACGATGACAAGGATTCATAAAACATTTAAAGTTTACAAAACAGAATGCATTGAAAAAGAGATAGCAATGAATGTAATGTCAAGGTCACAGTGCAGAATGTCAAGGTTACCAAACACTTCCCAATGTCAAGGTTAAACACAGGTTCTATGAAATTGAATAGATGTTAAGATATGATGAAGGAAAAGTGTTACTTAGTATATATCAACATGTTAACTAAATAAGACCACAGCTTCGGATTCCATTAACCATAGCCGAGATCTGTTAGGATGAACTGCTTACCTCAAGATCGGATAATTTTCTCACAGCTTCTAGTTTTTCCTGTAAAACTTTTCGAAGCGATTCCTAAAACAAAGAAATAAAATGTTGAACATGTAATAACTGTTAATAATTCGTTTTTCCTGTAAAACTTTTCGAAGCGATTCCTAAAACAAAGAAATAAAATGTTGAACATGTAATAACTGTTAATAATTCCTTCTAATATACATGTACATCTATATACCACTCCAAAGTTTTCATTTTGAATGTGATTTTGTAGCTCTATCGTGATTTTGAGGACATACCAGGAGGCCTTACCTTGGCAGTAGTTACATATAACGATACATTGGCAATGGTTCCCCTATCTATATATAGGTTCTCTGGTGATCGATCTGTTACCGTACCCTGACAATATTTCCCCTATCTATATATAGGTTCTCTGGTGATCGATCTGTTACCGTACCCTGACAATAGTTCATAGCCTTACCTTGGCAGTAGTTAAATAACAATACATTGGCAATGGTTCCCCTCTCTATATATAGGTTCTCTGGTGATAGATCTAGCTAGGCACTGACAATAGGTCATAGCCTTACCTTTGCAGTAGTTACATAACAATACATTGGCAACGGTTCACCTATCTATATATAGGTTCTCTGGTGATAGATCTAGCTAGGCACTGACAATAGGTCATAGCCTTACCTTTGCAGTAGTTACATAACAATACATTGGCAACGGTACCCCTATCTATATATAGGTTCTCTGACACCATATCTGTTACCGTACCCTGACAATAGTTCCCATATCTATATATAGGTTCTCTGACACCATATCTGTTACCGTACCCTGACAATAGGTCATAGCCTTGCCTTGGCAGTAGTTACATAACAATACATTGGCAACGGTACCCCTATCTATATATAGGTTCTCTGGTGATCGATCTGTTACCGTACCCTGACAATAGTTCCCATATCTATATATAGGTTCTCTGACACCATATCTGTTACCGTACCCTGACAATAGTTCCCCTATCTATATATAGGCTCTCTGGTGATAGATCTGTTACCGTACCCTGACAATATTTCCCCTATCTATATGTAGGTTCTCTGACAACAGATCTGTTACCGTACCCTGACAATAGGTCATAGCCTTTCCTTGGCAGTAGTTACATAACAATACATTGCCAATGGTTCCCTTATCTATATATAGGTTCTACATGTACATCTATATACCACTCCAAAGTTTTCATTTTGAATGTGATTTTGTAGCTATATCGTGATTTTGAGGACATACCAGGAGGCCTTAACTTGGCAGTAGTTACATATAACGATACATTGGCAATGGTTCCCCTATCTGTATATAGGTTCTCTGGTGATAGATCTAACTGTAGCCTGACAATAGGTCATAGCCTTACCTTGGCAGTAGTAACATAACAATACATTGGCAATGGTTCCCCTATCTATATATAGGATCTCTGACACCATATCTGTTACCGTACCCTGACAATAGGTCATAGGCTTACCTTGGCAGTAGTTACATAACAATACATTGGCAATGGTTCCCTTATCTATATATAGGTTCCCTGACACCAGATCTGTTACTGTACCCTGACAATAGGTCATAGCCTTACCTTGGCAGTAGTTACATAACAATACATTGGCAACGGTTCCCCTATCTATATATAGGTTCTCTGGTGATAGATCTGTTACCGTACCCTGACAATAGGCCATAGCCTTACCTTGGCAGTAGTTACATAACGATACATTGGCAATGGTTCCCCTATCTATATATAGGTTCTGTGGTGATAGATCTAACTGTACCCTGACAATAGGTCATAGCCTTTCCTTGGCGGTGTTTACATAACAATACATTGGCAATGGTTCCCCTATCTATATATAGGTTTTCTGGTGATAGATCTAACTGTACCCTGACAATAGGTCATAGCATTACCTTGGCAGTAGTTACATAACAATACATTGGCAATGGTTCCCCTATGTATATATAGGTTCTCTGGTGATAGATCTGTTACCGTACCCTGACAATAGTTCCCCTATCTATATATAGGTTCTCTGGTGATAGATCTGTTACCGTACCCTGACAATAGTTCCCATATCTATATATAGGTTCTCTGACACCAGATCTGTTACTGTACCCTGACAATAGGTCATAACCTTACCTTGGCAGTAGTTACATAACAATACATTGGCAATGGTTCCCCTATCTATATATAGGTTCTCTGACAACAGATCTGATACCGTACCCTGACAATAGTTCCCCTATCTATATATATAGGTTCTCTGACAACAGATCTGTTACCGTACCCTGACAATAGTTCCCATATCTATATATATAGGTTCTCTGACAACAGATCTGTTACCGCACCCTGACAATAGTTCCCCTATCTATATATAGGTTCTCTGACAACAGATCTGTTACCGCACCCTGACAATAGTTCCCCTATCTATATATAGGTTCTCTGGTGATAGATCTGTTACCGGACCCTGACAATAGGTCATAGCCTTACCTTGGCAGTAGTTACATAACAATACTTTGTCAATGGTTCGCCTATCTATATAAAGGTTCTCTGGTGATAGATCTAACTGTACCCTAACATTAGGTAACTAGCCTTACCTTGGCAGTGGTTTCGTAGGTGAGTTTTTCTTCCTGCAAGGTAACAACTTCTTGTCGTAAAGAATCCTCGGCATGATTCTGAAACCAGACCAACACTGAATTACTGAACACCAGGACAAATATAAAAAAATATTCATTTCTCCAATTCTTCAATTGAAATTTTCCTTGAAATACTGTTAAGATGATAGATTAACTGGCTTCATTTAGATGAGATAACATCAATCCATTCTCATCATAAGTACATCCAATTTATCAACAGCTGGTGTAACCAAACCTCAATACTGTATTGAAGTCCCTCACACTTATCACATCCAGTAAACTCTAGTACAGACACGAATGTTGTCTGACACAGGTAACACTTACCTTAGAGTAGGTGTGAAGCTGGTTCTCTAATACATCAAGTCGAGACAAAAGCCGATCTTCTGTGATTAGGGCCTGTAAAACAATGCATGATCAGTCCATTATTTAAAAAAAATACAAGAATAAAAATATATTTGTTAATGCTGTTATTATTTACTAACATTTCAGGAGATTTTTATGTCAATGTTTATTTGTGAATGGAGAGAGTTATCATGATTTAAATATCTTGCAAATAATTTTTGAGAAACAAATTAACAAGGAACATGAATCACTCATTTTTCTTGGCAAATTCAAATATTCACAAAAGCCATCTGAAGAAGAACAGCAAAATTAAGTTTTGCAAAAATGAAATGATTGTCAATAAAACTTATTTAAAAAAATAGCCATCTTGAGATAAATTGGGTAAACTGAAGTGTTAATGTCCATTTTACTGATAAAAACACGTTTTTGTCTATCAACATCCTATGATAACAACTTCCTATGGTCTAAACTGACCAGGTGATTGTTAAACCTACTTATTGACTGTGAAATGCTCTCTCTGTAAAGTGAGTGCCTCAACTAACTTGTACCGACCAGCTGGTGTGAGCGAGACTTACCTGCCATCCCGTCTCCGAAGCTTCCTGTGTGTTCTCCAGAAGCTGCTGCAGCGTTGACAGTTTCTGTTCCAGCATCTTTTCCCGGTGAAGGGCTTCCTGAAAGACACAAGAAATCTTGAGGTCAGAATGCTGACAATGAAAGAAATCCCATGTTGTACCAGGACTTCCAAAATGTCCCATAAAGGGTTTTCTAGAAAACTGTCTCAAAAGTAAAACTGTAGACATTCTTCTATCTGTTTGTGAAGAAAACAAAAAATACCTAATAATGCATTTGTTTCTGCATGAAACATGATTTTAATCAAAAATATCCTGATACAGAAATCTATGAAATTGACACAATTTTTGTCAGATAAATGTCAGATACCCAATACCTCCAAGTTTAGAAATCTGAAAATCATTCACAGCCTAAATCAGAGGTTTGGAGATCTAGCGATATGATATTTTACTCATTAAGCTATAGAAACACACAATTTTTATTCTCTGTTTGGCATCCATCAAAATTTTACGTGATTTCATTTTTAAGACAGACATCTTATAGTGTCGAATCAGTCCCTCCTTATCCAGTACAATCATATCAATAAGTATCTAAGTACATCAAATCTATAGTATTGACAATGCTCTTTTTCTCATCTGTCCAAAATATCAGGGAAAGTGACTATAATGAACTATTTTGTTCCACAAATATAATCTCAATGTTGACATTGTGTTTCCTGATTTTACGTAACTTGTGGACAAAATATACAGTTCATTCGCACATTCTGATTTTATTTTCACATTGCACAAACCAATTTAACAAAAAAATCAATTATCTCTTATCCTACTTTGTTTTTGTTTTTTAGCCTTGAAATGTTCATCCAGTGTTGTTTCAGTTTTTATAGCAATTGACACCTAAGTGATACATTTAAAAAAAACTGCTGTCTTCTTTCAAACCACAAGCATGTCATCAATTTCCTGTGGTTCAGGTAAACAGGTGAACTTGTTAAGTACACATTTAAATTCCTCATTCCTTCTACAGCTATTTCACAGCAGTAGTACACGAAAATTATAACTTCACCTTTTTGCTCAGGAAAATCTTTTTTTTCTTGTTTTTCAGCTTTTTGTATCATTAGGTATAATTTCTCATATAAACATATGCTAAAACAATGCTTAAACAATGTGATCTGCTCTTGATTTTCCTCAAAACAAAATAAATTTCACAAATTAAATAAACTTTAGGAAAATTATACAGAGATACAACTCACCATATTGTAAAAGTACTCAACAATTATCTCCATTGTAAGGAATGACTTGAAAAGTAGGACCTCAGTAAGTCACAAAAGTTTTACCTAAAGATGAAAGTTTATACGAACGGAATCCCCATGGAAAATCAGAGTGAGAAACACTGCCTGAAGTCCAGATAATGGTTCTACAAACAAACAAACCCACCACAAACCATTACAGCAGCTGACCCATATAATCTGGTATAAAATGGCATTGGGATAACAATTTCACCTTCAAAATTTGACCTCTATATCAGTAAGGATAGACTTGGATGCAAATTAGCATACCCAGATAATGGCTTCAGATAACAGCCGAGGCTAAAAACACAGACTTCAAAATAATTATAATCAGAATACAAATAACTTTAATGGCAGTGGTCGGGAATTCTAAGTCTAAATGTGAAGCATAAAATTTGAGAAATCCAGAGCAAATGAAACAAGAAAACTTGTTTCCATTGTACATGTACTATTAATGATGTTGATATGTATCCAGTGTATTGCTCCAAGGATATGATCTGACACAAAAAAAACACTTTGTCATGTTCATCAAGCAGTCTTGATTTTTATAAGTTTTATAAGAACTTGAGTTTTATAAGTTTCAAAACAGGCTTTCAAAATGATGACTATTAAATCAATACTGGGTTTGTGCTTGAATTTTATATTTGAAAAATATTTTCAAAATGGCAGCTGCAGCAACCATATTTAATTACTGATTGATCTGAATAATAAGATTTTATCAGAACTATCTGCCAGTCATCCGTGCCAAGTTTCAGTTTAGCAATAGCAGCAACCATATTGGATATCTCATTGACCCTGAAAATAGCACTTTCTTAGAATGATGTCAAAATGTATCAGTGAGATCCTTTCAGTAGTATTCCAGTCTTTGTTGAAAAATATAAAATGTTTATGTCCCACCACAACAGGCAAAGACAGATCACAGTCACTTGAGCCTTTGACCCAAGAAGAAGCAGCCAGCAGAACTAGGATTCAAACTGTGCACCTCTGAAATCTTGATAAATCTCCCCTGATTTATCACTGGTGATGGTCTTCCACATTTAGGTATTTAGATCTTCCATATTTTCTCCGACTTCACATGAATGTTGTATAGGACATATAGTGTCAACACTGCACACAACTTACTACAAACTTCCATCTGGAATAATCTTCTGTATACCTGAAACTATATCCAGTACCTGTAGCTATTTTCCCTTCAAAGTAGTCATCATCCCAATGTGTAAACTTGGGATTTCTGCCGTTCACCTGACGATATTTGGAGGGTTGGTTGTTACGTGATCGAGTCTAAGTCTCCACTTTATCAGGACACACAGACAAGGTATACGTACGTGTACAATGATCTCACCTGCTGGCTATGTCTTAAGTAGACCTACTGATGTCCCTCTGCTATACGTATAAACAACAATCTCCAAATTCTTTAAATAAAAAAGTCCAGTTTTGTAAACCTTACCTGTGTCATTTTTTCTCTTGAGTATATCTAAACCTAGATTACTGTGCTATATGAAAGCTGAATATTAATCTTCAATCCAAATTCTTCTGCATTATTTGAATGTGCAATATAATTTTTCATTTCATTTTTCATAAACATTTACCTAGCCCCCTTTTTTTTAGAACGCATGTGTTTCTGCACCTGTACGTTAATAATACATTTCATGTACATGTCTACCGGTTAAATATGGAGTCTTATCTATTTCTTTTAAGTTTTATTTTGTTTACCTACAAGCAGATCTCTAATGACCTAAACAATTTTACCTGTGCGGTTCATACCTAATAGCCTAGTCAGTTTGTAAACTGACTTCATTTGCCTGACTCAGTCAGTTTTTAAATTTATACAAGAAAGAATAACATTTGCATTACATAAATGTTAAAGAAAATTACGAATCTAACCCACAGCTACGGCTACAAAAGAATTTCAACTGTACAATAGAATGCATAGAACATTACAACAGGTAGCGTGTCAGCTAGATCACCTGTATGTGTTACTAATTCAATATGAAAATGAAAGTATTTCCTTGAGGTAACAAATTAACTTTTTTAGCTACGTCACAATATTCTGTCATCTAACTACAAACACTCCGACTAAATACAGATGGTTCTTAATGAATTTGTATGTTCCTCTTTTATAATCATTGAATATTTTTTAATATTATTAAAATATTATTATATTTTAGTCAAATTGTAAAGCCATATACCATTAGATGAAATTTAATAAAACCAAAATAGAAATAGAATTTTAACTAATATCATTGCAATGTTGTACCTGTGATGCAGATTTCTTAATCAAACTCAAATTTCCACGTTTGCATAATCGTAAGATATGCCGAATTTTTGATTTCACATCAATCTTTGAAATATCCCAAAAATCTACCGAGTTGAGAAACATCAGTCCTCCGTGGAATATGAGCAACACCAGACAAATCATCGCTGACGAAAATGAATGGTTAGTGTTTCATTGATGACTGGTAGTACCAGAGTGTAGGAGACGACTTCCTGTGTGGTATCCTGGACTACTTATAGATACACAATTATGTATCAACACTGACTATATTAACAAGATTTTCTTAATGAATATCAGGTTATTTAGTGCAATGTTTGTTTATTAATTATTTTTATTATTTCTTCTACACATAGGTGCCAACTCTTCCTAGTGTTTCTGAGGGAGACTCCCGATTCAAATTTATTATTTCCAACGTGTAAATTTGCTAAACTTTATTATGAATTCCTACACATAAAGGTATAATTATTTTGTCTGAAAGAACACCTCAAAATATGTCACTTTAAAGGGGGGAGTTAAGGGGGGGGGGGGGTCTCTAGGAGACACATTTCCTTTATGGTTTTAATTTTGAGCACACATGTATAGAATCTCCACCATGGAATTTCAAAAAGTTGGCAAGTATGTCTACATTTTGACTTTTAATAAAATCCATATAACTAAGGTTATTGGTATGTGATATATGAAATTATCTAACAAGTATAATAATTTTTAAATCAAATGTTGGAAATAAAAGAACTGTTATTATATTTTGAAACAGATGACTATGCCAGAGAAAATGCTGTAAATTACTTTATTTTGAATACCTTTTTTACTTCAGAAAATACAAAATTTGATAAATTTTATGTGGGTCACAAATAACTTCTTTTTTTGCATGTGGATATAGGATGAATATGAACCTTGTATTATAAATAAATGGTCATCCAAGATTGATGAAGAGAAGTTCAACTTAACAGCTGTTTCTTCCTTATCAGGACAAGGTCACCAAACATATCATTGATCATAGCCTACAATATAATTACTACTAGAAATGCTGGTGCATGTATTCTCATGAATACTCACACACGCCTAGGGTAACATTAGATTTCTAGTGTATTCAAACAGCAGGTTGATCTCAGCAAGCCATTCAATAGGACGGGAGTCTTTGATATGTTTTATAATGCAGTTTTAAACATTCTATTTAGTATTCATACCGCTAACCCGCAATAAGGTACAATTGTCATCCCTGTGATCAATCAGATTTCCCGAAATCCATCAATTTGTTGAGTAATGTCTTATTTTGAAATGTTGGGCAAATGTTTTGTCAAAAAATCTTGGTGGGTTTTAATGAAGACTTTTCACCTCAGTGCTCGTGAATGTCAACACAAAAATCCTGTCTGTCCTTCCACAGTGTAAACATATAGCCAGGTACATCGGGATTGTTCACCTGTAACGAGGTATACCTGTGTCTTACCTGTTAGCACAATACACCACTCCACCTCATTATGGTTCTATCCTATCCTCCATGAAATTAATGATAATTGATCCGTAATCCAAACACAGTTTTAGATAAATCTCTGTACACTGTGATTCCTTCCAGCTCAGTACACTTCCCTTGCATATCTGTGTTACAGGTCATGTACAGGTAACAAAAAGTTTACCTGGTGTGACGGAGGCGGTAGACCATATCCCCTTGGTCGCAGTCCACCAGACATTAATTATGTTTCCCCTTGTCTGGCAAATCTTCATGGCCTGCTTATTAACCCCAATACACAGCATGTCACAACAAAGGGCCTATCATTGGCTTAGGGGACAGTCTAAACTGCAGTTTACCAGAGAGTCGTCAGGTTTCCAAATCTTATTAGTGTGGCAGGGTCCTTCACATCAAAACATAATTTGTAACTAATTTGATAGGCAAAAACATAATTTAGGGGCCCAAATCCTCAATGCACAACTATCTTCTAGGACATGGGTAAGTCTAACGAGACATTGCACACCTGTGACAGGTGACAAGTTTCTCACCTGTAGGTAGTGTGCCAGCTGGTACAGATCCTGAGACTGTATGGAAATACCAGGCGCGATTGTGTTTACAAATGGGCTCGATTCCGAATAACTGCAAAGACAAAACAATGGGTGTCACAATCATGTATTATTGTACAATCCCAAATTTTCTCTAAACACTGAAATGAAACAACACAATCAGAGAACATATCGTAACATCACAAATTCATTTTAGACCCATATTTACTTTAAAAAAGATTTTTTTATCAAAATTTTAAAGAAAATGATAAAATGACACTTTACAACAAAATGTCACGCTATTATAATGACAGAGAATAGGAACACATCCAAATCTGATACGATTCAGAAACTTGACAGATATACTAAGTACACGTGTATAATGTTTAGAACAGTATCCAAGTTTCAATCTCGTATTATCATACATGAATGATCAACAAAAGTTATACTAGCACAGTTAAAAGTCAGTTTCTCATTCTCAGTATCATGCAATTCATAGACAGCTCAAGATGAAGATTATCCTATCAGAAGGACCCCAGTCTATCAGAGTGCTACTTCTCAGCACCACTTGAACAACTGGGTAGACTAGAATAACCAAGTTGATGTGAATTGTTGGCGTAGTTTGTAAGCAAAGAAGTGAGATCCATACTCTTAGTTTTTCTTTCCTTTTTAAATCTATTTACTCTGCAACAGTATGGATCAAGTTCATGAACATATGGTGAAATCTTGTTTACATGTCTGTGTTGATTGCCAAAGACCTTTTGGACCTAGGAAAGGTTACAAATTATATATCAATCCTTTCACTTATTAATATACCAAAACTTAATGGTTTTCACAAATGAAATAATATTATATCAAACTAATATACACAATTATTGTTTCTTAATTTCAGGTCAAAGTTCAAACAGAAGGTACCGCTTTTGAACCAATTGTTGAAGATATTATCAAAGGTATTGGTAAAAGCAGACGGCAGCAGTTATGACAGTTTTGAGGAGGATTATTTCTATCACTAGACTGACAAGTGATCAATGACAAGAAAATTTTGCTGACGTTGATGTTTATTTCCATGATCTGTTTCAAGTCAACAATTCCATTGTACAAGAGAAATTATGTGAGCAGGACCAATACATATTATATCTTTTCATCTGAATTTAGCAAAGTGAACAGTTTGAAAATATTTCCATGCTACAGAAAAAGTAATTTCTTTTATTAGAAATTTGAAATTATTCTAGACATATTCCAGTACACCTGTATGTACTTTCCCTCAAGAACCATTTCCTGTTTCCTTCCTACTGTAGATAACAATGGGAATAGTAAACATCTGTATTGTGTCTGATTTATAGCTAGTGTATCTCACACTGTTACTTGTACTGTGCACATCACAAAGTACATAGTACTATCTCAGTACACGTACAGGAGAACTTAGTAATACTTTATTGTATCTTTTTACTAGAACTGTTTCTTTTTTCAGTATCTCAGAAAAGTATATCTTCTCTGTACCTTTTAGCAAATAAATAAAGTTATAACTTTATTATACCTTTTTAATAGAACTGTTTCTGTACATTTTAACTTACTAAAGTACTTTTTAAGTAACTAAATAAAGTTATAACTTTATTGTACCTTTTTAGTAGATCTGTTTCTGTACTTTTTAAGTAACTAAATAAAGTTATAATTTTATTGTACTTTTTTACTAGAATTGTTTCTGTACTTTTTAAGTACCTAAATAAAGTTATAATTTTATTTTACTTTTTTACTAGAACTGTTTCTGTACTTTTTAAGTACCTAAATAAAGTTATAATTTTATTGTACCTTTTTACTAGAACTGTTTCTGTACTTTTTAAGTAACTAAATAAAGTTATAATTTTATTGTACCTTTATACTAGAACGGTTTCCATACTTTTTAAGTAACTAAATAAAGTTATAATTTTATCGTATCTTTATACTAGAACGGTTTCTGTACTTTTTAAGTAACTAAATAAAGTTATAATTTTATTTTACTTTTTTACTAGAACTGTTTCTGTACTTTTTAAGTACCTAAATAAAGTTATAATTTTATTGTACCTTTTTACTAGAACTGTTTCTGTACTTTTTAAGTACCTTAATAAAGTTATAACTTTATTGTACCTTTTTCACTAGTGCTGCGTTTGTGGCCAAATTTAACTTTTGTGTACCTTTTTGTTTGTCAATAAAGTAATGACTGAACTGAACAAAGTGTCTGAGTGTAACTTTTCAATACCTATTTGTAACTTTTTAGCGCTAGATTGAAACACTCTTTCTCACAAGATTCCAATCTCGCGTCAAAAGTAAATTGTTTAGTACTTAAAAATCAACAAGAGTAGCGCAGTGACAGAATAATATTCACTGATCACATACCCCAACATAACCTAAACGTATCATCCACTTAAAATCATTCTGATGCATTTTTGTAACAACATGTATGAAGATATTGAAATGTAACAATAAGAAACTACATTTGTACCACATAACAAAGAAAGTTTATATAATATAATGTTGGATTTGGTGAAAAGAGATGCATAATGTTCTCAAGCCTTTTTCTTTGAATCGTATAAATATTCTGGTCATACTTAGGGAAATTATGCCGAATGTGCAGTACACTTATTTATCATGCATGGATTTTGATCAACTTCGAACATATCTTTAGCCATCGTATATTTTATATGCTCACCAAGTTTCAACAAAATTGTATGGTATTTAAATAAGAAACAGAAAACAAAGACTGGATGGACAGACAGACGGACGGACGAACCATCACTTTACCAAAATATATCCAGTTAAATGTTGACAATAAAATACAAGTAGCTATGCATGTCCTATGAAAGGAAATCTGTAAATAAACCTTAGAAAATGACTGTCAACATGCTACATGGTGTTTTTTTTAAAATATTAGTGACTCATGTATTTCCCACCACAAGGCCTCAATGGCCAGAAGACTTAATTACTAAGCACAGGAAGGGGACATAACTCTATAAAACTGACCCGAAATCCTCCCTGCCCCACCCTTCTACTCTTATCAATATACCTGTTTGTCCATAACGAGCTTGGCAGACATCCCATCTCTAAAACACATTTCTCAAAGTCTAGATTCCCAATTTTGACCTTTGACCTTGTTACAGCATATCAAACCGAATCATCTTTACATCCATGGTTAGATTTCCATCTCTTTACAAAACAAGCAGGACTAAAAACCAGATCCTCCATGATTTTTGCTTTGCCATATAAACCCAGCATATTAGGCCAGACAGACCTCAATGTTGATTAATGCCACGGAGTATATGCAATGACATTTTACCGCCCTGCAAATATTTCGATAATAAGCTATTAATTGCGAAACTGGTGCTGGTTGTACATGTCCCAGCTGTTAGTGCGGAGATGTCAGTGATATTGGGAGGTATGAGTTACAGCATATATATATATATATAGGGGGAAGGGGTGGGGGTGGGAGGGTAACCAAATCCTTCTTCTGTCCTTCAAGTCAAACATGTCACGAATATGCGTGTACCCCATTTCATATATCATTCTCAACTGCCTTATCTCTTTTAATTTTCTATACTGCAGTAAATGTGTAAATTTTCCCTAAAACCTGACCCCTCCGTCCACCAGAATCCACCACCATGCACATCCTCCTCGTCACCCACCCACACACTCAATATTTCTACATAATAGGGATGTTGTAACATCAAGAAGCAAAGTGTTTATTTGAAAAGATCCCTTTATTTGTATCACATAAAAAAGCTGTTTAGAGAAGGCCATATCAACTACTTCTGCAGAATTCCGTTCTAGAACCTCACCCATATCAATATACAGTACTACTACAAAAGTCATAACCTATGACCTTTATTGGAATGACCTCAGTAAAAAATAAATACCTTACTCCATGAGATCAATTTTCCCTGTGCAACAGATATGACCTTGACCCAATAATTTGTTTTTCTTTGATTTCTGATTGGTTCTTTGCCTTCACATAAAATACATTATTATCAATGTCCTACATCAGCTGAACCGATCGTTTCATTGCATACTGGGTAATGGTTCCGTAAGTATGACTCTCGCCCTTTGCATCCTCCGTATCTACGGCGAATTATAAATGGCAGTAAATACTAATACACAGTTTGCTTTGCTATTATTTCCTCTGTAATACACAGACTTATGGGCTACTATAGCTTTGATTCATAAACAGTGATTTCTTCACAGGGTGATATTTCCTGTTACATAGTATACATATCAGCCAGAAAAGTTACAACAGTCATACAATAACAACAAGCTAATATGGTACCAAAGATTATCAACATTTACCAAATATTTCGATAATGGAATGACTTCTTTGCACACAAACTTTAACGACTGTTTGGACAAATAATCATAGCATATTAGGTATTCTTCTTAAATTTATCAATTTTTCAAAACACTTGAAACCTCACCAGAAATAATCGTATTCAAATAATATAAAGTAAATAAGATTTTGAAAGGAAAGTAAACCTGCTGTATACCTGGTGATCATCATGGCCTGTGTGTTTGCTTTGAGCAGCTAAGAAACAGACATGTACAATGACCTAAGAGCACCTACACATGACTTATGGAACACTACCCTTTACCTGGAAAATTGTTAGCCATTTATAACTGCCACAGGGGCCTATACAACACAGGGCTTATAACACAGACAAGCCGTTTTATTTCTGTACATGTCCCCCAGGCATCGTCAGCCCCTAACAACTTGTGGTAAAAATTGGTAGCACACAACAGTTATGTATCCCCAAGTCTTAACTACCTGCCAGCAGACATTGATTTAACACAGATCTATCTAAGCAGACACAATTATGGTATTTTAAGTGGAGTTGTGCCCCTTGGGCCTGACACAATATCCCAGACTGTGTGGTTCTCCACAGTTCCCTGTGCATCAGACTTCCTATGTATATACATCTATAACAATAAAGTTCATTATCCACCCACCACTTGACTGTCCCAGTATACGTATCTAGCCAGTATTTCATGGGACAGACTGTATTTTTTCTGTTTAAAATTATCCCAGTAATCCTTCTGTCTCAATTTTGAGGCACTTTGACTGGAAATGAAAGATCGCTTGATTGATAGGGTCCCCATGTAATTGCTATTATGATACATGTATAAAATCAAATTCTATTTTAAGCAGGACATGACCATCATGCTACTATAAATAACAGATAATCTGTGACTTGGATGTCAAGTACTAATTATTTGTATTTTCAGCGAATAATCACCCCTTGCCTACACTTGGCACAGATTTAAAATTCAATGACTCTGCAATTAGCTCTTTCATTATTTACGATCACAGATTAGTTCAAACCCATGTCAGGAAAAAGATCAAGGCCTTCTTACCAGTCCCCATGTCCTTCTGTTGTGTGGTCAAAGTTACCTGACCACGAAGAACACTGGTCACTTACCTATTGTAGGATACAAAATCTATCACCTCTGTCCTAGCTAAATAAATCATGATTTGGTAATGCATTGTCTCCTTTTGAGATCACCCCTGAGCACCATTTTATATCCTCAGTCTTTTATTTTAAATCTTAATAAAAAGCAGCCCCCAGCCGTCAACATCCAGTGAATATCTACAAGAACAGAATGTCACATAGCCTGGTCTCTCTCTACTTTTGGAAATACCTAAAGTATTTAGTACCAAATCTGGTCTGGAACAAAATTATATTAAAGAACGTGAAAAGTGATATTCTTCTTGAACACACATCTTCCATCAAATAGCCAGATGCTATGACAGTGTAACAATCTGGGATCGGGGGCTCCAGTCCTGGTCTTACTTCTTACACTCAGACCATTGTTGTTGACTATATTTTGTTTACATCACCCCTATTAGCCTTAAATTGTTCCCATAAAATCAATGAAGGTAAGATTTTCTTTTCTGAAATGATTTATCAAAGCTGCAGCCATACCGAAAAAACCTGATTTGATTACAAAGTTACAATTTTGGTACGGGAATACTTGAGGAAATTTTATTTGGTATTGGTACACTGATCTTTCGAGTAATTTTCCCTAACTTTGCTTTCATATGGAAGAATTTACTTATGTTGAGAAACATTTCTGAAACTTGGGCAAGCTGTATCTGTTAGTTGTAGACCAAATTTAATCAAGCCAAGAGAAGAAACTTTATACGTAGACTATTTATCATTATTTTATGTTGAACAAATTACAGCAAGACAAGAGAAGAAACTGTACATGTGATACATTCATCACATGTATTGATTTAATATAGGAAAAATTATAGCAAGACAAGAGAAGTATCTATACAAGTGGATCAATAATCAACTATCTTATAGCATGGGAAAGACAACCAAAGCTTCACTTCACATCACTGTACAGGGGATACCCTAAACAGAAAAGGGAGATAATCAATGTACTCAAATACGGAGACGAACAAAGGGAGAATACTCTTGAAAAGACAAAGGGAGAGTACTCTTTGAGAGGAGACATGCTGAGGTGTGTGTATACAATGACTTGCATGGTTTTGTCTGTATTTTCTGACATACATCCTGATATTCTGAGGAAATAAAAACAACCACAGTTTTAATTCTAATTTCATTATCATATATCCTGATGAACTCTTGGGGAAAACATATTACATATAAAACAGAAGATTGACTTATACTGTAATCCAATGACTATGATATCTCTAATACCAGTGTTCTTTGTTATCTGCTAAACACTTTTATTTTAATTTCATCACATAGGACAAAAACACATATTAAAGGTGACAGGATATTTTGGGTGGATAAGACAGTACACCTGACTTGAACCACATTCAAGGGGCCTACAGCAAAAATATAATGGTTTATAATAATTTGTTATTACTGTATGTATACGTTACATGAAAACTCTGTTGAGTTTGTCACTAATATACATGTATGTAAATTTAAAGTGCCCTCTGTGACCTGTCCTCTATAAAAATGACCTCCAGTTAGTGATCTACTCTCTTCAAAACGTCTAGTAGCTTCTTTAGAATCCAACCTATATACAGCTACTTCAAGTGCTATCAGAGTGACATTTGGTGAAGGGGCCTGTAATGTACTCATCTGTTCATAAATTCTACAGAATACTACTGTTATGATACACAAATGACCTTCTGTCACTCATATAGTCATTTCTCCTGACCAGTTGTGAAAAACAATGTAAATGTTTCAAAAACTATGAAATTTCACTTGGAAAAATTAAAATCTACAAATGCAATAAGAAATTCCAGTTGACCATTTATAATATCGGAATGTTCCAAGAAAAGATCAATCTATTGTGTGATAAAAACGCTGTTGGCTCTGACTCTTTTGATGGTTAATGATAAACAAATGAGCGTGATACGTTGTCTTGTTATAAATGTTCAATTTAAACTGTATCTTTGTTCTGAGTGGTTCAACTGGACAATTCATGGATGGACGCTTCAGAGGTATATCCCCCTGATACAGTGAAACCTGTCTATTCAGAAATTAATCATATGAGTATGGTGAAAAGGTCTGGTATGTACAGGTGTTCAGATTACACAGGGTCCTGTTTAGACAAGTTAATCTCTAATACTTAACATATCAGCATATTACTGTTTTAAACCAAATTAATAGGGCAATCTCTAATTCACAACAACGGACACCAAAACAACTGGATGATAACATGCACAAATGGGCAGATAACTCTTTAGTGCAGGTAACAAAAACATGCTATCAAACCTGAAATAAAGTTTACAATAACCATATGCACAAACCACACAAATTTGTTTTTTTTTTATTAAAAAATAATTAATGAACTCGTGTGAATATAGAGATAAGCAGATGTAAATAGGAATGTTGACTTACATGTTTTTGGCTTCCCTGCCGTCGGGGTGGAACAGTGTGATAGTAGCTATGATACATCCATGTGTGACTGTGGGAGAAAGAGGAGACAGGATGTTACCGTAACCCGACACGCCACTTAACAATTCAACATATACCGTCATCTCTGTATCATCTCTGACAAAACTATTTCACATTTCTAAAATTTGGCACTATATGTAAAGCTTTTGATCAGGAATCACTAAAACTAGGGAGCATTTTCCTTCTAAAGACAGTTAAATAAAACTGGTTACCTATATTTATAAAACACCTGAACAGAGGTCAACCCTATATATACTACACCTGTTACAGAGCTCATTTCCATATATACAACACCTACTATAAATAGAGGTCACCTCTTTTTATGCAACACCTGTTATAGTGGTCACCTATATATACACAACACCTGTTATAGGGGTCACCTACATATAAACAACACCTGTTAAAGGCGTCACCTACATATAAACAACACCTGTTAAAGTCATCTACATATAAACAACACCTGTTAAAGGGGTCACCTACATATATACAACACCTGTTATAGGGGTCACCTACATATAAACAACTCCTGTTAAAGGGGTCACCTACATATAAACAACTCCTGTTAAAGGGGTCACCTACATATAAACAACACCTGTTATAGGGGTCACCTACATATAAACAACTCCTGTTAAAGGGGTCACCTACATATAAACAACACCTGTTAAAGGGGGCACCTTCATATAAACAATACCTGTTAAAGGGGTCACCTATATATACACAACACCTGTTATAGTGGTCACCTACATATAAACAACACCTGTTATAGGCGCCACCTACATTTAAACAACACCTGTTAAAGGGGTCACCTACATATATACAACACCTGTTAAAGGGGTCACCTACATATAAACACCACCTGTTAAAGGGGTCACCTACATATAAACACCACCTGTTAAAGGGGTCACCTACATATAAACAACACCTGTTAAAGTCATCTACATATAAACAACACCTGTTAAAGGGGTCACCTTCATATATACAACACCTGTTAAAGTCATCTACATATATACAACACCTGTTAAGAGGTCAACTACATTGTACATATACACAACACCTGTTAAAGAGGTCACTTCTATTTATACAACACCTGTTATAGAGGTCATCTATATATATACAATACCTGCTATAGAAGTCACCCCTATATATACAACATCTGTTATAAGAAGTTCTTAACCTAAACAGACACATACAGCATTAAACATCTACAGGACAAATCCCTGTTCATTTTGTTAGGTTAAATTTTGATGGATATCTTTTAGAGGGAGTTTTCCATATAAGAGAAAGATAATGCTGGTGAGTAACACTCAAAGCAAAATTTGGGTAAAATGCCAAAACATGAAAGTTTCAAATTTGACGCCAATTAGTAACAATGACCACCTACGCAAACTGTTAAAAATGTGGTTGATACACAGAACTGTATAAGATATAGATGATCTGTGAGGAAATATGTTTTCTGCTAGTAACAAGCACTTCACTGTAATGATGACCTACTCTGAACACAGTTACACAGCCCTGACAGACTGCCAGGGTCTGTTCATTGTATCATACCATCACTCAGCAACATTCAGGCTGTGCTAGGTTATAACTGAGGTCAATGTATGAGGCAGGATATGTAATTATCCAATAGCCAAAATTATTTAAGGATCATTAGTTCATAAATCTCACAATTACAACCACATTTTAAAATATTTGAAGGTTTGTTTTGGAAAGTTCACCATATAGCTAATATTCCAGGAAGAAAATGAATTGGTAGAAGGGAGATAACTCTAACATGAATATGACCAAGTTTTCATTGTTATAGCTACTGAATTCTGATCTAACTACCACTTTTGAGGAACATGTGTTCAGGAATGTGTTTGAAGTTAAGACAAGAGATGGTTATGATACATGTAAGATAACCCTGTTTGATAACTTCTTACACATCCTAACAAAGCATGCTGCTGTAAATGTAGTCGGCTGCATGGGACGAGAAGTAGATCTAGATATATCATTATAAGCCATCTCTGAGGATGATCTGGCTTCACCACACACTACTACTACTTATTCTGTACTCATTTCATTCATCCACAAATAATCCTTAAAACCTAAAGATACTGTATATTTTATTAAATTTATTAAATTAATTAAATCAATGCAAATGAATGATAAATCTATCAAAAAAAAATGTTATTAAAAATTACACCAACAATACAATAATGCTCTATTCTATAAAATGCTCTCAAAAGATTGACTCTCTTGAAAGGAGGGGAGGATATGATCAACAGGAGAAACACAAAGTAGTAGGTTGTTTCAACTCAAATACTGCAGGTCCAGTTATATTTTGATCTATACAATATATCTAGGAATTGACACCAATGAACATCATATCTTGATCTCAAATGTCATTTGATAATCTCAAATGTCATCTGAAATAAGCATATGTCGACTGATATGAAAGGTCACCAGTCAACAAATTTTCCTTATGATATGTTGACCTGCATCAACATGGTTGGATTGTCTTATCATGATATCATGATATTTTAGTGGAACATGATTTGCATAAGATGATTATGTCGTACTTTTTTCGCCTCGGCGATTGTTCTCCATGACGTCGACCCCGAACTGTATCTGGTCCCCGGAGTAGACCTCGCGAGCAGGGCTCTCCTCCCCACCTTTACACAGTCGCTGGTTGTTGATAAAGGTACCATTGCTGCTCTTGGTGTCTTGGAGGTAGAACTGGAATGACAGAAATATAACATTTACACTGGTGTAAATAAAAGTCTGGTCAAACTTCAGTATGCTGTGGTGTACATATAGTTACTAATGCACTTGTCAACCAAACTCAATGGCTGTATATATAATTGGTGTTATATCCCTTGTATATATCTGTGAGCCTGCAGCCAAGACTCTTAAATAATGCTGAAAGTCTGAAACTGTCACAGTGCCACATCCCTTTATTGCTGCAATAGTCTAATCACAAAGGATACTACTGACTGCGCCGACATCACAAAATGTTAACCAAAGATTGTCTCCCTTTATTTGCCAATGTACATATTTTTCGCACTTTGACTTTTGGCCGAGAGGTGAAGGCCAAGTATAAATACAGTGCACTACATAACCTCTGCCGGTGACACAGGTGTAAGTTTCATATATCTAGATATCTTCAAAACTTTTTAAAATTTACAGCCATAACAAGATTTCACTTAAATTTTGCACCCTTTAACCTAGAAGTGAAGGTCACCAAGACCTAATTAGTAGAGCACCATTTGTGGGTGAATCCAATACACTTCAGGTTTTATCAAAATGTCTTTAAAAGACTTATAATTAACAGCAATTTTAGAGAAACTTTTGTACCTTTGATCATGACCTAGAAGATATATTGAATAGCCAAAACAACTAGTACTAATACAAAATGTTGACCTCTTCCATTCTTAATTTTCGTGGCAAGGTTACATTCTTCTGAATGTCCATCTCATATTTTGTCTACAGGGCCAAATACATTGATATCTTCTACAGTGTCACTTAATTTTTACATCTTTTATCGACAAACAAGCCTGTCCTGGGTAATATTACCCTCTCTCAATACAGTAGAACCTTCCTAGAGAGACCAAATTGGTCTATCACAAAATAGGAATCTTTTTCAGGTTCTGGTAACCCAGCTAGAGGTATGATGTGTGTATGCTACAGCAGATGGCATTTCTTTTGGTCCTGTACACCAATGTATCACACCTTGCTGGCCTGGTATCCTGATAAACAGAAGGGGTGATTAAGTGGCTCCTTGCCTTACACCTCCCGTTATCTCTATCCAACTACAGCACTATCTCAGCAGAGGTCTATTGTATACAACCTCTACATTCCTACTGTCCTTTAAATAATGACAGCTTGCATTTCTGCTGTGTAAAACAACTAAATATTCATCCCAATATTATGGATCATACCTCGATTCATCAAACATTCCAACATGCAAAAATCTGGCAATAAAATGTATAATTCTCTTTTAAGGATCATTACCTCCCTTTAATATACTGTAGCATATCACCAACATCAGCAACAACAACTAGGATCACAGATGAGATTTTCCCCATCTTTTTTAAAGTTTTTCATATCCTGACACCTCCCCCCATTAAAAAACAAAGGAACCGTTGATGACCCAATCACACAGATGGTACATATAGTATACAAATTGATATCTACAAACATCCTCAAACTATTCAAGTTTTTTAAACAAACATACAAACTTATTCTGTTAGTTTTCTTTTAGTTCACAGCAGATTTATATAATTTTGAAACATGGCACAGGGTTGAGTCAGTTAATGGTAATCATTTGTCTTCATAGCAGACTTACTTAAAAGTGTCTGCACATCAAATAAAGCAATTTATTTGCAAGCATTTGAATTTGTGAAAGTTATTACATATACAAATTATTAACAGGTTGTGTATCTGTATAAATATTTAGAAAATTGGAGAACACCTCTCACCATAACAGTCATTGAAAATAATGTTTGATATATAAAATCAAGGCTATCGTACACAATGTCAACAGACAGACCTACCTGAATCAGATCTGAAGAACTCCCAATATCTGGAATTATTGTCTTTACACACAATACATAAAGAATGTGTCAAACATTTTTGAAAGCAGTGTTTTTCAGCTCATATTGTCACTGAACAAAACAAGAGACATAGTTGTTCAAGTTAAGGTTTTTTTCCAGAAGAAAAGCACAGTATAAACACAGCTGCCTTCCCAGTATTTATAAATTGTGGGTGTTTTTTCAACAAAGTCTACAGAACTGATTTCTTAGCCACAGGTGGTTGAATGCCTGGGTCCCGAAATAAACAACTCTTAATCTAAGCAATGGCTTTATAGGTTGTTTATTTATAGTATATATAAATATGATGCCCCCTTCCATGTGTCCCCCATTTCACCACCATCAGTACATTCTTACAAATCTAGAGTTTTTGAGATTTCCATCACTGACCAGGCAGCCTGCTGGCTGTGTTAGGATCAGCCCCTGATACAGAAAGTCAGGTGGTACCAGCATCAGCAGCCAGGGTAAATATTTACTGGTGTACTGGTGATGTGTATCCCCAGTCATATGGTACTTAGAATCAAGATTGGGGAGGAATTAAGTCTTCACAATAATATCAGTAATGTATAGCATTACTTGCAGTATAAGGGTACAGTCTATGCCTACCTGAAAAATGATAATCTTCTCATAAATAATTGATTTGAAGTTTTATTGGTAACAAAAACTTTATAAACAAGCCATTCCTATTGATATGTCTTGCCTCTGCCCCGCTTTGACCATCAATGCACATTTGGTTAGTCTAGCACTTTCAGAGAAACTAAAGTGCAAAAATTGAATATTGATGGAGATGCTGACAAAGTCAATGGATCATGAAAGGTAGACTGCATCTAGCATTTGATGCATGGTTTGAGATGTTCCCCAAGATGCATCTTTGGTCCAAGTTTGTTAGGTCTAGCACTTTTTCTTTCAGAGAAACTAACTTAAACGCAAAAACTAGTTGTTGATGCCGCCGTCGCAGAAAAGCAACACCTTAGTCTCCCTTCCGCTACTTCGTGGCAACGAGACATAAACTCATTTTCAGGTATTAAAACAATATCTTCAGTGTATTCTGACATTTAATACACATTAATAAAACACATAAAATGATTGTATAATGTTTGTATGCTGTACGACTCAAGTGATAGAGCCCTGACTATTTCTGAACTCAGTTATCAGAGACAGAACAAAGACCCTACCTATATTTATGTGTAAAGGATGATTTAAAACAGCTCTGTCAAAATATATTGGTAGCTAATCTGTATTAAATTACAGTAACATTTATACAGTATTGCAGCCTGGTTCAAATGCCTTTGACATGTTCCAATGTGGCTGACATTTGATATATCTGATGATCAGACAAGGTCTGTGCAAAGGAAATACACAGTTTCTGCAAAGGAAATCAATCAATAAAGTATCTGTTGAAGACACGACACTACTTGAGGATAACATTGATGACATTCTTCACAAAAGATTGATATGCATTGCATATAGTGATATTATTTACAGGTCACGTATTTGTGGATTTGTTTCGTAAAAGCATATTTTTTTCAGTGTAGACTTTGACTTTGAGTAAAAAAAAATCATATTTGAAATATTCCTAACTAACCCTGTCAGAAAGGCAACAAATTCACTAGTTTACACATATTTCCCACTAAAAATATGTAAAATCTAAACTACCCCCCTCTCCCTATCATCTTCTCCATCTGCCAATGATGATATATATACATTCCAGTATTTATCCAGGGCTCTCTGCAACGGTAACTACTGTTCATGACATCCTGCATACAGTCTGCAAGTATTTATGCAGGGACTGATACAACAGTGGCCATCACCAGGCAAGTCTGACATGACTGTTTATTATAATATTTTTTAAACATAAACAACAGGTCTGCTTGATACATCTACTAGATACAAGACACCAGTATATAGGACTAATGGTACCCTGCAGCTTTTTCCTCTGGCCTTATTTCTGCACAGCTTCAATTTTGAAGAAAAGCAGTAATGCGTATATACATATTAAATGAGTTTTTCATGATTTCATAATTTTATGAAGAACTTAGCAGAATGTATAAATATCCCTAAATGTCGGTTGTCCAAAACATACTGCTAAACTTGTGGAGTGTTCATCCAATAAGAACCAATCTGGAATAAGTCGGTTCTAAATACAGATATATCTGTCATATTACAAAATAGGTTCTAATGAGTTTAAATGGTTAACTACTCAGCTATAGTTGTACTGCTCTACAATGGTGTCCTACATATAAATGGTTAACTACTCAGCTATAGTTGTACTGCTCTACAATGGTGTCCTACATATAAATGGTTAACTACTCAGCTATAGTTGTACTGCTCTACAATGGTGTCCTACATATAAATGGTTAACTACTCAGCTATAGTTGTACTGCTCTACAATGGTGTCCTACATATAAATGGTTAACTACTCAGCTATAGTTGTACTGCTCTACAATGGTGTCCTACATATAAATGGTTAACTACTCAGCTATAGTTGTACTGCTCTACAATGGTGTCCTACATATAAATGGTTAACTACTCAGCTATAGTTGTACTGCTCTACAATGGTGTCCTACATATAAATGGTTAACTACTCAGCTATAGTTGTACTGCTCTACAATGGTGTCCTACATATAAATGGTTAACTACTCAGCTATAGTTGTACTGCTCTACAATGGTGTCCTACATATAAATGGTTAACTACTCAGCTATAGTTGTACTGCTCTACAATGGTGTCCTACATATAAATGGTTAACTACTCAGCTATAGTTGTACTGCTCTACAATGGTGTCCTACATATAAATGGTTAACTACTCAGCTATAGTTGTACTGCTCTACAATGGTGTCCTACATATAAATGGTTAACTACTCAGCTATAGTTGTACTGCTCTACAATGGTGTCCTACATATAAATGGTTAACTACTCAGCTATAGTTGTACTGCTCTACAATGGTGTCCTACATATAAATGGTTAACTACTCAGCTATAGTTGTACTGCTCTACAATGGTGTCCTACATATAAATGGTTAACTACTCAGCTATAGTTGTACTGCTCTACAATGGTGTCCTACATATAAATGGTTAACTACTCAGCTATAGTTGTACTGCTCTACAATGGTGTCCTACATATAAATGGTTAACTACTCAGCTATAGTT